TTCCTGCTTATCAGTGTCTTTAAGATGTGGTGTTGAAAGGGTATTCTTTTTTTAAATTGAAGACGTTCGTTGGAAGGATTGGACTCGACTATGTCAGAGGGAGCAGATCAGCAATGCTGCTTTTTCTTTTGGCACAAAAGTGCAGGTTCCTTCCTTCCTTCCTTCCTTCCTTCTTTCTTTCCTTCTTTCCTTCTTTGCTTCTTTGCTTCTTTCCTTCCTTTTGCTCGTTTGTTTGCTTGCTTGTTTTCCCGAAGTTTCTTCTTGCTGAGGTCAAGTTTGTAGAGATCCCCATAGAGGGGCCATTGCAGTTCCGCAGCCGGGTATGCCGGAAGGCTGATTGGACCCTGCCCTCCTACGGGTTTGCGCCTTAGCGCTGGGAGTCTCCTTGGCTCCCTGATGGCCTAGCTTGCGTACATGTAACAGGTGATTGCATGGATTCTGTTTTTCTGTTTTTTTTTGACGGTGCCGCTGAAATGGTTCGCTGCGCACGGTCGAAGCTGAGCTGCCGATCTGAGGCCTATGAAGTCCGGGCCTAGCGGAGAGCTTCTGGGCATGACCCGAAGTCGCGGCGGATCAGGCGCTATTCCAAGCGCCGCACGAGCGCCGGAACACAGGGTTGCATTGGCCCGACACCAGTTCTATATCATTGGTCAAAGGCTCGCAAAGATTGAATCTTTCTGAAATGTGTGTTTCTGGGGAGTGAAAGTCCGAGCTCCATCGAGCTCCGATGCCTCCGCGATTTTTCTTCTTCTCCGTTTTGTCTTTCAGGCGACAGCGGTATGTTGCTGCCAAGCTCCGTGTGCTCCACCCGCTGTTCCTCCCCGGGCGGGCTGTCAGGTGCTGCCCGGTGGCCCGGTTCACGGGTTCATCAAACAGACCGCTGAAAGATTGGCAGGAATCCTGGGAGTATTTGGAGCAGGATGCGTTTGGGCATTTTTTTTTTTAAGATAATAATAATTGTAGTAGTAATAATAATAATACTAATACTACTACTACTACTAATAATAATAATGATAATAATAATAATAATGATAATAGCAGTAATAATAATAATAGTAATAATAAAAACAATAATAATAATAGTAATAATAATTATTAAGAATAATAATAATTATTACTACTATTATTATTAGTATTATTATTATTGTTTTTATTACTACTATTATTATTATTATTATTATTACTGCTACTACTATTATTATTATTATTATTATTATTATTATTATTATTATTATTATTATTATTATTATTATTACTATTATCATTAATTATTATTATTATTATTGTTATTATTATTATTATTATTATTATTATTATTATTAATATTTTTTCCCAACAGCTGAAAGCTTTGGGGTCTCAGCCCAGATAGGCTCTGGGGTGGTCCGGGGCGGCGCTGAGGTAAGGTTCCACGGGGGTTCCACCAGGGTTCCACCAGAGTTCCACCAGGTTCTGCAAGGGCTGCGGGGTGGTCTGGGGTGGTTTGAGGTAAGGTTCCACGAGGGTTCCACCAGGGTTCCACCCATCTGCGAGGTAAGGTTCCATGAGAGTTGTATCAGGGTTCCACCAGCAAGGGCCTTGGGGTGGTGCGGGGTGGTTTGAGGTAAGGTTGCATGAGGCTTTACCAGGGTTCCACCAGGGTTCCACCAGGGTTCCACCAGGGTTCCACCAGGGTTCCACCAGGGTTCCACGAGGTTCTGCGAGGGCTGCGGGATGGTCTGGGGTGGGTTCGACAGAGTTCCACAAGGATTGTACAAGGGTTCCACAAGGCTCCACAAGGGTTGCACAAATGTTCTGCAAGGTCTCGTGGTTTGCCTTGGAGGGAAGTAATGTGTCGTGTGACTGCCGTCTGAAAAGCCATCGGGGCAGTAAATTGAGAGCTCAGAACAACAATTTGCTCATGGGCGGAGCACTAAGCAAAACCGAAATCAATGGTTTTCAGCACACTTGCTCACGTTGCTCACCGTGCAGCCCTTCGTGGGTTCCAAGACGCTCCACGAGGTTTCCACCAGGTTCTGCAAAAGCTACGGGGTAGCCCTGAGGAAAGGTTCCAACAAAGTTTGACGCTGAGTTCCGAGGGTTCTGGACGAGGACGGTTTGCGAGGTTCACCGGGCCCAGGTCGGGGCCCGATTGCACTGTCGGGGCCCGATTGCACAGGGGCCCGATTGGGTCCCGATTGCGCCGTCCGGCCCGTCAACTGTGCCAAGCTGGCATCACCTCGCTTTGTTACAGTTGAAGGCTGCATCCTCTGGAAAACCCTTGCACCACGGGACCATCGGGCCCCGGCCCCGATTGCACCGTCGGGCCCCAATGCGATTGCGCTGTCATTCTTAGCTTTGCTTTATAAGTTACAAGGCGGCATCCTGAGCCACCGGCGGTGAGGTGGGTCACAGGGCGGGTTCCGCGAGGATTCTGGGAGGGTGTGGTGCTGTTGGGGATATCGCCTGAGCCTATTTGGGAACTGCTCTTAAATGAAAGTGAGACGCTTCTTGGAGATGAGAAGCAATGCCAGGAGCGCCGTTGGGCGCCGATTTGTTTCTCACCCACTTTACGTTACACCGACGGACTAGAAACTGAGGCTTCAGATCCGCCCAAAATTGAGCGCGATTTGACTTTGATTTATAAAGTGGCAGCTTCGGATTCCGACTGCATCTGGATGGCGCCAGAGCAAACCTTTTCCGGGGAGGGACCCGAATTCCCCCCTGCCCCCCAAATGGCTGGCAGCATGCAGCGCTCGCTTTGAGGATTCACCCTGGCTGCCGGCCTGCATGGAGAAGCGCGACTCGAGGCTTAATTTTTGAGAGGTCCTGATGTCCGGACGTCCGTGTACACCGTGTTCGTGATTTTTTGTCTTTCGAAGGCCCACAGTTTTTGTGCGTGGCTTGCATGTTCAAAATAGTTTTTTGTTGAAAGTGTCGGGTAGACCCTGTCCCAGCCTTTTCAAACGCTGACTGGAACTCATCTCGCCTTTTCTTCATGGTAAATGGGAAGTGATGCGTGCTTGAAGGATACCACCGAGCAGCCGCGGCATGCACTAGTTAGTTCTACTGGAATGTCGCCTTGGAAGGCCTGTGGCATTCGAGCTGCTTGTAAGTGGAGGCGCAGCACTACCAGGGGATTGGTTGGTAGGCCCGGGCGGGTTGGGGTCTGCGAGTTGACAAGAGTGGCAGAGCATCAGTTGTCGTTTTGAAGTTGTATTCTGATAGTGCCTCGCAGAATTGCGAGGTGCATGAGAACTTGCAGCGGCACTTTTGATTGACGAGAGATAGAGGATCTCGCCCTACAGAGGATTGGCGAGGGGACGCAAGTTGAGCAGTTTCGGGCTTCAGGTTGAGTTGTTGTCCATGAGCTGAGCATTGACTGAAATTGTGAGGAATCCAGGTTAAGAAGCATACGAATTGCATGGACTTGTAGGCATGTACGTGCTTGCCTGCTGCAGGACCAAGTCTAGAATCTTTGAAGTTGAGCGTATTGCCCTCATAAATCTGTCTGCAACACCATTGCAACCAGTCGAGGGCGATCGGCGCTCCCCAATAGGGATAGGATGCGACACGTCACGAGCTTTTTGTTTGTTTGTTTGTTTGTTTGTTTGTTTGTGTGTGTGTGTGTGTTCGATAGTTTCTATCAACAGCGCATGCGCAGAACATCAAAAGTCACTATTGTTTTTGTTTGGGGATGGCAACCATGCCGCTCGTGACATGTCACGCATGTGAGACTAGGAGACGCATCCAACTTTTCAATCAGCCGCCCTGCGCTGACGGCCGTGGACGGCGGCGAGCTGTTTTGCTGGTTGCAGAAGATACTGCAATTCAGCATGGAGTTGTAAGATCTTACACAAACTATTGCACATATTCACCGAAACTTATTTGCATTATGTGGCCCTGTGATCAAGAATACATGTGTGCTTTGTCCCTTCGATGCGCCGGAGGTCTTGCATGCTATCATGCACCTGCTTCCCACAAAAGCACAACTAGCAGCCTTTTTGACCGCGCTTGGCCTGATCACTGACATCCACGAAAGTTGCGAAAGGAAGATCGCACCTCAGCCTAGAACTGGCTGTTGCAGTGCACATCGTTTTAGTAGTTTGAACTAAATTCACCTCCGCCCGGTGACTCTGCTTGAAGCAATTGTCAGGCAAGACAAGCGCTTGACAGGCGTTTCGCGAGTCCACCTTTCCTGGCCTGCATTTCGACAGGCCCTGGCGGAGGACAGGAAGGCTTCCTTTCCGACTTCTCATTCCTGTTGCGTGTTCAGCAAGCTTTGGATGTAGGCCGTTGATTTCTGTCAAGGCAGCGGTCACACAGGGCGTACCTGCAGGATACTCTACCCTGCGGACGGCACCCCTGCTAGCAATCTGAAATGGTGGAACAGAATTCGTGTAGAAATGACCTAAATGTCTAAATGCCTTTAATGCTGAGCCTGCTTTGCGCGAGCTGCGTACAGGACAATGCCTGTTCCTGTGGGGTTGAGCAGGATAAACAAGCAAAGGTGCTGCAAAGGCACTCAGTTGTTGACCGTGTTGGACTGGTGCGAAGACACAGTCAGCTGCGCAAAGGTTTAAGCAGGTGGCAGGTCAGAGGCCTTTCAAGTTTCAGAACAGCTGTGGTGCAGCCCTGAGCAGCCAGACAAGGCGGCTCGTTTTACTTATCTTCCAGAGGCCACGCCGAAAGAGTCTTTGAGTCTCCACTGGCTCCGCTGTTCAGTCAATAGCTATGCTCGTGGTTCGTTTAGTTTGCAGTCTTCTGACAATCGGCGGCCTGAACTTGGCACACCACACTTCTTCCATTGTCGCTGGAGAGTACATGTGTACGGATGTTGTGGCCCTTCAGCGGCATGCTTGCCCGCAGTCGGGGCTTTCCTAGGGGATCCGAACCTCAATCTGCTGAGATCTATCCAGGCACTGCATATCCAGCTCCCTTCAGCGGAAGGACGTTCCAGACATTCCAAGCGGTTTCGGCGGAAAGGAGGATTCGAGCCGAGCCCTCAGAGCGCCGGATCCCATCGCGAATTCGACGAAGTGACGAAGTCGCGGCGAGTTTCAACCGCGGTGCGCAGCAGTGGGTGGGGAGCTGGGTGATGGGCTGACAAAGCACCGCCTGTCCCCCCACCCGCTCCTGGAAAGTGAGGTCCCTGTTTTGGGGGAGCTGGCTTGCTGCAGAATCCAGCTCCCATTTGGGCCTCACCTTTGCCTCCGTGCGACAGACGCACACTGCCATGCTTTGAGAAAGATCTATCCTAAGATGCAGAAGGCTGGCTTCGGTGTCACCTCGATCACCTTTTGCATGTCACACTCTGCTCGGATGATAGCAAATGTGAAACCCCGGGCGATGGATGAATCGCCTGCTCGCGCGGAGCCTGCTTTTCGAGGCACCCCGAGCATTCGGGCTGTACAGACAGAGTAAAGCTGCAAAGACCCGACTCGTCCGCCGTGTACCAGGCAGAAATATCAAGTGCAGTGCGAAACTCTTCGCGGGCCGGCAACGAAATTCCTTGCCTGGTTACTGTGGCTTTCTTGAATGAGCTCATGAATCCTCTATCCAGATGGTCTACGAGTTGACTGACTTGCGATTTTTCCTGCTGCCTGCTTTTGGACTTCACGGTCCAGACTTGCGCTACGCTGCTGGTTGTTTAATTCTTGACTTACCTCAAAAGCAAACACGAGATCTGGGGATCCAGGCAGGAGCAGCGATGAGGACCACGATTAATAGTATGTATATATATATATACATACACACACACACACACGTTCTTTAACACAGGTCTCATCAGATACAACATGAACACCACACCAACGCACCTATCCAGCAGACCCCCCCAACAATCAGCGCTGACCTGCGACATGAAATGCCCAGCTAGGTATTTCCAGTTTCTATTGCCCAGCTCGGTATTTCAAGTTTCTTCCCTCAAAAAGGACTGTTTCGAAGCTGAGACGGACGAGGTTGCATCCTCTTTGCATGGCCTGCGATGCGGGCGGGGCTTTGGCGATGCGCGCCGCGGCTGAGCGGAAGGGAGGCGCGCCAAAGCCAGCGAGTCGGAGGCTTTCCGGGTTTGTGCCAAAGCATTTCTCCCAACAGTGGCGCCTTCTTTGCGTCATGGTTTGACCCCGCCATGCCCTAACCCCGCCGAACACAAAGGCTGGGTCTTTTGGAGGTTGGTTTTCTTTCCCAACCTGAATATTTCGTTTTTATCCTGTTGGCTTCGCGTTGAGAGACCACCGAAAAGGAGGAACCTTCAAGAACAAGACCAAGTGAAGCTTCGCATGCTGCACTTCGCCCCATACCGTTCATCCATTTTTTCTTTTCAATTGAGCCACTTGCTCAAAACCCGGGTAGATGAAGGTTATGGGACAATCCCAACCATAAATAGCTGCGGATACCCGCCCCAGTATTCTTGAAGCATGATTCTGGGAAGGACCATTCTACAACTGTACCGATCGGGTAACCAATCTTGGGGGTGACAAACCATTTTTGACCAAACACATAAATAGTTTTATCACTTGACCCAATACATGATAAACCTTTATATTGATGTATATGTATATATATATATATATATTGATTATATATATATATCAAACATATATATATATATATATATATTTATATATATATATATATATATCAACCTATGTCTTATGCCACCGCAGTTTGCAACTTTTTGGGTGCTGCTTGAGGTGGTGGTGGCCGGAGGTGGCCTGGCCGGCGCCAGCTGCGCCTGGCAGCTGGCTGAGCGCGGCGCCAGCGTGACGCTGGTGGAGCCCAGGGCGCTGCTTGGGGCCACCAGCCAGTGCTCCCGCCCAACCCGCCCCCCCAAAAAAATAATAAAACCTTCTGGTTTTCCTAAAACCAACCAAGAATGGAGTTCCCCACAAAAACCAACAGAGACTTGACCTCCACATGTGGCTGTATATATTTGGTGACTCTTTGGTGGACCTCATTCAGGGGATTCATGTCCACCAACCACATTTGAGGTTGTTCCTGTTGAAAATCCTAGCCGCTAATATGGCTGTGGTTGTCAACACCGTTTTGGGATCCCATTTTGGGTGGGATTGGTGAATTCACCACCCGTTTTAGGTTTCCTATTTTAGTGGGGATTGGGATGTTCACGGGTACGGGATTTTGACCCATGGCCAAATGGAGAAAGTAGGGGGCCTGGGGGGTGGCCCGTTTAGGGTCCCCTGTTCTGGTTTTGATGTTCATCTAAAACCTGTTGACCCCCTTCTTCGTTTTAAAAAAGGGGTTTTTGGGGAGCTTATCGTTTTCGTTAAGGTGGGCATTTGGGTAAATTGTCGCCTTGTTCATTGTTGGTCTGGCTGACGTTTTGTCGTTTTGAAAAAAAACAGTTAGGGCTTGTTGTTTCATATGGGGAGTTGGGCGGGTCATTTGTTTGGTCGTTGCTTTCGTCATTTGTTGGTGTTCGATTCATTCACAGCTCCGTCCGTCCTCATCGGCTTCTTCGCTTGGATGGCCGGGTTGAGACCGAACCAAAGCGGAAAAAAACACTTGCTTGCTTGGACAGGGCTCCTTAAAAGAAACTCATTTTGCAACCATTTGAAACATGTTGCTTTTTCAAAACCATATAAAGGGAATCTACCATTGACAAGGCAATGTTCAGGTGTATAATGCAAGGATCCCTGTTGAAGCGCCTGTGGGTGATATCAAAAGCAGATGGTTCTTCCGTGTGTGAAGTCTCAAACTTTGGCAATGGCATTGGATGAACTTCGAAGTTTGCTGGACAAACTCACGGACGCGAAGGAGCGATGCTTGGGAGCAGCCTTGTTGAGAGATTTGGTTAAACATGACAGTGCTAGTTGGCATTGGCACTTCACTTCTTCAAAGTAGCTGCAGAGTCTATTTCCCCGTGCACCACAAATCAATTTCCCGCAAACACCACCGAGTTTTATTTTTTCTCGGAAGGGCGGGAGTCGCGAATCCGATTCGATGCTTTTTTTCTCCCCTTCGATGCGTAAGTCCTCGGGTTCAGGTACTCCACGGAGTGCTACCGAGACTTCTTCATCGACAGCGCGCTGGTGCCCTTCATGAGCCGCTCCGTGGAGCTCATGGAGACCTTGGCCACCCGAAGCGAATGGGTGGGCGGGAAAGGTTGGTTTGGTTGGCTGGCTGGCTGGTTGGCCTTGGTGGTTGGCTGGCTTGCTTGGCTTGGCTTGCTTGGCTTGGCTTGCTTGCTTGGCTTGGCTTGCTTGCTTGGCTTGGCTTGCTTGGCTTGCTTGGCTTGCTTGGCTTGGCTTGGCTTGGTTGCTTGCTTGCTTGGCTTGGCTTGCTTGGCTTGGCTTGCTTGCTTGGCTTGGCTTGCTTGCTTGGCTTGGCTTGCTTGGCTTGCTTGGCTTGCTTGGCTTGCTTGGCTTGCTTGGCTTGCTTGGCTTGCTTGGCTTGGCTTGGCTTGGCTTGGTTGCTTGCTTGGCTTGCTTGGCTTGCTTGGCTTGCTTGGCTTGCTTGGCTTGGCTTGGCTTGGTTGCTTGCTTGCTTGGCTTGGCTTGCTTGGCTTGGCTTGGCTTGGTTGCTTGCTTGCTTGGCTTGGCTTGCTTGGCTTGCCTGGCTTGCTTGCTTGGCTTGGTTGCTTGCTTGCTTGCTTGGCTTGCTTGGCTTGCTTGCTTGGCTTGGCTTGCTTGGCTTGCCTGGCTTGCTTGCTTGGCTTGGTTGCTTGCTTGCTTGCTTGGTTGGTTGGTTGGCTGGCTGGCTGGTTGGCCTTGGTGGTTGGCTGGCTTGCTTGGCTTGGCTTGCTTGGCTTGGCTTGCTTGCTTGGCTTGGCTTGCTTGCTTGGCTTGGCTTGCTTGGCTTGCTTGGCTTGGCTTGGCTTGGCTTGGCTTGCTTGGCTTGGCTTGCTTTGCTTGCCTGGCTTGCTTGCTTGGCTTGGCTTGCTTGGCTTGCTTGGCTTGCTTGGCTTGCTTGGCTTGGCTTGGCTTGGCTTGGCTTGGTTGCTTGCTTGCTTGGCTTGGCTTGCTTGGCTTGCCTGGCTTGCTTGCTTGGCTTGGTTGCTTGCTTGCTTGCTTGCTTGGCTTGCTTGGCTTGCTTGGCTTGGCTTGGCTTGCTTGGCTTGCTTGGCTTGGCTTGCTTGGCTTGCCTGGCTTGCTTGCTTGGCTTGGCTTGCTTGGCTTGGCTTGGCTTGGTTGCTTGCTTGCTTGGCTTGGCTTGCTTGGCTTGCCTGGCTTGCTTGCTTGGCTTGGTTGCTTGCTTGCTTGCTTGCTTGGCTTGCTTGGCTTGCTTGGCTTGGCTTGGCTTGCTTGGCTTGCTTGGCTTGGCTTGCTTGGCTTGCCTGGCTTGCTTGCTTGGCTTGGCTTGCTTGGCTTGGCTTGGCTTGGTTGCTTGCTTG